CTGCCGATAAAACCGATTCCGGTAGCGACAAAAACTGCGGGGAACTCTGCAAAAAACGCATCTTCGTACGGGCAGCCCGTGCGCTGGCCAATTATTAGACATGTGTGGATATATATACATATACATATATATGTATACATATGTATATATATACATATATATATACATATATACATATGTGTATATATTATATATATATGTACAGGAAAGAAGAAAGAAAAAGAAGAAAAATTCGATGGGAGCGACACTTTTTGCTAATCTTGCTAGAAACCGATGGTTTAAAAAGTGCCTGGTTTAAAAAACAGCTGTTTCGCATTTTTTTACGTATAGATATATAAAATGCGATAATTATTTTTTTGAAACTAACTGCTAAATGGAACTGCCCAAACCATGTTAATAAACAGACTCATAAAAATGGTGAAGCACGAGCGATATGCGATGTGTCACAAACCTGCTGCTTGAAATAACGGCGATCCTCTTCATCAACCAAAACGAGATTCAGGTAATAACGCACCGAGAATTTTTTGCCAACATCGCGCATTGTTGGAGTGAGGTCGTAACCAGCAAGGAAAAGTCGAATGGGTATCGACTCCCCTGAAACACAGCGAAATATGTGGTGAAGAGGGGCGGCGGCGATATTAAGGGGAGTAAAGCTTACCTCTTACCGGTGCACCATCCATTATTTCGTATTTTGCGATTGTCTCGTTCTCATTGAATACATTTGGCGTATTCCCCACTGTTTCCCTCTTGATTATTGCAATTTCCATGAATTTAATTTTTATTCGAACTAGCAAGAAATATATTTTTCCAACAATAACATCCTTCAAATGATATCTGCAAATACATATATGCATTTGGTGAGGCACACAGCTGCTCGGCGCATCCGACCTTTCAATTATCTTATCATGGTATAAAAGAAACGGAACTTCACTCGAATTTGATGCAGCCATTTCTAATTTTGTAAGGAAGGAAGAGAGACATCTTCCCATTCTCAGGCAATTATATTCAACGACTGGAATTAGTGTTCCTGCGGTTTGCCGTCATCGATAGCAGTTTGATACCTTTTTGTTGCACTACTGCCCAAGTGCACAAAAAAAAGGGGGCACCCCGTCTTTCCCCGCTCTTATACGCTTCGATATTAGGTGCTCTATAAAGAAATATTTACTGCGCAAGTTACCATTTTTTAGTGCGAAGCGAAAAATGGTTAGAAAATTAAAGTCTACTTAGTCCTTACGTCTCACAGCAAAACGTGTTTTTTTGTGTAATTGACTGGGATTCAGGAAGTGATGCTGACTGCTTTCTAAAAACAGTCAGTGCATATTAAAATCTAGAACAATTTCGCCAGCGTTCCAGCATCACAGAAATACATCAGTGGACTCAACAAATCATTGGGGATGAAAAAAGTAAATTTCACTCGGTCGATCACAAGAATGTGAACTGAATGATGGATATCCGAAGTAGAAATGCTCAGGAAAAACTCGCTCAGATTGTCAGTGTGATGGGCCGATATTAGGAGGAAAGCCCTCATATACCAACTACTCAGCCAGCAGCTACTTGTCGTCATGGAGTCTTTATTTGTAGATTTAACCTAAATGTGATAAGACAGCAAAGTTGTGGCTCCGATTTTCAATGAAAAAGTTACTTGGAACGATTATATTCGAATTCGATGTGCAAGCAATCCTCAATACCAACTTCCATTTTGATGCTATTATTCGTGTCAGGATAAGAAGAAAGAGTATGGACAATAACATCCATCTCACGGACAATATCAGTTAACCTTCGTACGATCACCACTCTCAGGAAATAGCTATAAATTTCACTGGAAGATGATAATGCAAAAAAACTTTCGCTCATTTTTATTATATCCTCACAAAAAAAATGAAAACTGTTGGGAAGATTTTGCACTAAGCATGCAGAATATGACAAGAAAACCGGTACTGCTCGGGCAAACTCCTCAAACGAATTTGTAAACATTTCGCTTTTCAGTAAAAAAAAAGCACTGCACGATGGTATCTGGGACCAACAAATCCGCATAATTACAAAAATATTGTTTTTCAATCTTTGCCATTACAATGAAAACTCGAGTAACGGGAAAAAAAACTATCATTTTGGTTTCTTATCTGTTTTGCAAGTTTCATCATTAACAATATACCAGTAAATCTACTTACCGCAATTTGACATTAGTGCCAACATAAGATTCATACGGTTTTTCAACCTGAGGAAATTCGAACCGAAACACAGTGCTTTTTGTGAGTTCGCCAGGACGTGCCAATTCCTTGACCAGTGAAACAAAGTCGTGCTGATTACCACGATCATAATATACCTCTGCAAAAAGCATTCGGGCTGGCGTGACAAGTGAAGTCAATTGCGCATACGTGTCAGGCAACATAGGTCATATACACACATATTCATCTTACTATTCTTGGTATGTATACCTTCACCTGCCATTTTACAGTCCAGCTTTATAATCCGGGATGTCTGGTAAGAATCCTGAAGCAAGAGAGAATCCGAAATGCCTGGTGTGAGGTGGCTAAAAAGTTCAATAATTTTTGGCACTGCTCCAGATGCGAAGTCTTTTTTTTTTTTTTTTGAAAACCCAGAGAAGAGACCGTTGAACAGCATGCTCGAAAGGATCGCGGTTGCCAGAAATGGCAGGTAAAAATTTCTGTAAGCATCGCACGATCAGGAAACAAAATTATCGCTTTCGGATCGCCACGCAAACAGCAAGATGTATGATGGTGCTGTGCCGCTGTGGCCGATGAAATTCACATCTAATCGGTTGCCCTTTTCAGCAGAATCTGAGCGCCAGTATAATCAAATTTGGTGTATATTTGCACAAATTTTTATTATTTTTGATGCGGGCAAGTGTGCGATGCGCTGATCGAGAGAACAGAGACATTCACAGAAGAACACAGCGCAATTCAACGCAAGCAACCAACCAATTTGCCCAACAAATTCGATGCGTATTCCTTGATGGTCGAATTTTTTCTTCACTGCAACTGCTACCGTACCGGACACTGTTTCGCCATCGTAGAATAAAAAATGTGTCTCCTGGCCTCCCTCTTCACCTCGTATTTTGGCAACCTGAAAAAAAAAAGAAAAAAAAAAAAAAACGCTGCATTGCTCGCTTTACCGTTCACATCCTGCTCGGCCTCTACTGTTTCGTTCGAGTGGTGTTATCTTGATTTTTGCTCATTCCCCCGTCAACAATTCGACTTAATTACATTTAGCATGCTTCATTTTATTTCTTCAGCTTTTGATCTCTTTTTTTATAGATCCCATACTGAACTCAAAGTCAGCAATGACTGCTGGAAAAATGCACGAATATCTTTTACTGAAGAAGCAAAACTGCAGCACCAGAAAAAAAAAGCAATACTTCGAAATGCCGAAAAAAAAGTAGTACTAACTTTTCTATTATCAGCATCGTCAAGTTTAATGGAGATTTCGGCGGCTTGGCCAAATCCAAAGAATGCCTGGAAGCAGATGTAATGTTGCTGTAAGGAAACATGCACTTTCAGAGTTAATGATAAGCCCCCC